CCATTACATAAATTTTCTCTTATTGACTTTTAAGATTTCAAAGATCCTACATTGTAAATACTGTAAAACCATTTATTAGTCCCCATTCGGATGCAGTCCGAAAACGAGGACTTATGTTTTTACCTCTGTGTGTCCGTGTGTTCGTGCGTGCGTGCTTGCGTCCGGACCTGTATCTTAGAAATGCCTGGACCAATCACAATCAAACTTTACACATACATCATACATGATATTATACATATGTAGGTCAATTTGTTTTATGATCTGATTCAAGATGGCCGAATGGTGGCCATTTTTGTGCTAAAAGTCATCAAAATCAAGCATTTTACGTCTGTTTACAGATGGATTTGTTCAAAATTGGTATATACGTTACACATTATAGGACCTTGATGCATACCATTTTGTTTTTCAGATAAGATTCAAAATGGCCGACTGGTGCTAAAAAATCATAAAAATAAAGCATTTCTTGGCTGTTTACAGATGGATTTCGTTCAAACTTGATATATACATTAGACATTATGGGACCTTGATGCAAATAATTTTGTTTTTCAGATAACATTCAAAATGAACGACTGGCGGCCATTTTGTTTTAATGAATGGGCTTCTAGACCCATATCTCCGACTTGTTTTGACTGATTATGTTCAAATTTTTAATATTCCTTATACATCATGTCATAGATATACGGATATATTGGTTTGACGATCCATTTCAAAGTGGCCAAATGGTGGTAATTTTTGTGCTAAAGCCATATCTCTTAAATGCTTTGACTGATTATATTCAAATTTTATATATTCGTTATACATCATGTTATATATATATATATATATATGTATTCAAAATGGCTGATTTTTAATGCTGTTCCAGAGCAATATCTCTCAATATGGACAAGTACTCGTTTGACGATCAGATACAAATGTCAATCATTTTAATGTTAAAAAAATCATATTTCTGACATGGTTATATTCCAGCTATATTACTATAAACAAAACTATATATCTTAAATTTGATAACTAACGGGGACTGTGCCATGCATGGCTTGTTTTCAATGGCATTTAAGTTCACTATTTTGATACTGTGAGCATATTCATTGGGTGTTACCAAATTTGAGAGTGAAACAATGAGTTCTATTGATATTTCACATGTTAACATGGATTTAGATTAAAATTAGCAAATTTTACATATTGGTGAGAATAGTGAAATTAAAACCCAGTGAATAATTAATATATTAACAGTATATTTTCATTTACAGTTGCCTGAACTCTTATCCAATGAGATTCAGCCTAAACTGGCGGCATTGAATTTTAAAAATATTGCTGTTATTGAAGGTGAGATAAAACTTGGTATTTCCCATTTTAATGAATTTCTTGCACAGTACATAGATTTGCATCAATCAATTTTCCATACCATGGATTATACAAGTTTACTTTTTTCTCTCGTTTAGTTTAACAGTTATAATTGTATATTTTTTTTTAATTCATTCAGAAGCCTTGAATGAAGGTAGAGAAGCATTGATCGTGCCCATTCCAGCAATCATTAATTATGTTATTAAAGAAATCCATTCACAATGTGTTGTACATTTCAAGGCTGTTAATGATATACCAAGACTGTATAGAAGAACAAATAGAG